TGGGCGGCCGTTGGGGCCGCTGTTGGGCGGTGCTCAGGGGCGGTGCTCAGGGCTGCTCTCCTTACCCGAGGGCCCCTGGACTTTCCAATACGGGAAGTAAATCCATAGTAAAAGCGCTTCGGGGGCTTTAGTGCTAGAATGCTGGAGTGTCGCAAAACCCGGAAGGAAGTAGAAGCTAGAAAACTTGATGTCTGCTCCAGGAAAGAAAAAAAAAAAACTTTTTTTTTTTTAATAAAATAATGAAATCAGGCAGCCCAAGTAGATTTACAGGGAGAAAGAATCAACCCAGCTTTTTAAAGAGAAGTTGTGCTTTGCAGCTCTTTTACACAGCTTAGAAGCACAGGAGGTGAGCAAGATCATGACCCAAAGTGCAAGCTGGTGCTGCTCCGAAATCTTCAGTGTGCTCTTCTTGTTTCTTCATCTGTGAACAGGAAAGAAAACAAAGAAGCAAAATGAAGATCACACATAGTTTCCATGTGAGGGTTTTTTTTTTTTTTTTTTTTTTAACACAAGGACTTTACCACTTGAGAAAGAAATGGCAAGAGAAGATGTCCTAGAGGTCTCGCAAAGCACAAGCCCTTCAGAGAAAGCCAATGTGGAACGTCATGTTCCGTGTGAGAAAGTAGTGGACATTGAATCAAACAAGCAGATGGTGTCTCCAAAGAGATATATCACATTGTGCCTAGTTGAGCACAGAGTGCTCACAGCAAGGGTGTGCTGAGTGCTGACAGACTACAGAGATTCTGGAAGCAAATTCAGCAAACTCATGAAATTTGTTTTAGGACTATTAAAATACACAAACCACCTCTACCTCGGTAAATCTGAGAGCTGCAAAGTCTTTTTCTAGGCATCTGTATCTGCTGTTGGAGAGAGAATAGGCTAAACAGGCTTTGATCTGGTCCTATTCTCATTTTCATGGACTGGCTCAAATCTCAGATTTTGCCCCCTCAGAGTCTACTTAGCTATACTGATACTAACAAAGATATGTAAATCTAAATACATTATATTTTAGCATTGATAAAATCTGTTTGATTTCTAGGACATAAATACGACCCTATCTCTGACTTACTTGGAGCAAATCCAAGTAGTTCCATCTTCTGAATCTGTGTCAGACTTTCACATGTGTATTCACTAAGTGAACAACATGACCAGTGAATAAATGTCTGTGTGTGTATGTGTATATGTATTTAATTATACTTCTGTCAGTAAGTTATACAGATACTAGTGTATAGGCCATAATGAGATATTATTTCTAGGGAGGTTCTCAATCTCGGCTCAGGAAAGAGGAGCCTAATCTTAATACAGTGGCTGTAACACCAGTGGTCTGAAGCCAGTTCTAGAAGAGGAGCTAATGGAGATTTAAACATGCTATTCTGTTCTCAGTGCCATCAGAGACAAGCTTTTGTGCTTGATAAGAGTTCTGAAGTGCACAGGGATAAGAAGATGAAGCAATTGAAGAGGTAGCATTTAATCTCTCAAAGTGGAACTCTGGTCCCACTGAAATTAGTAAAAGCCTTGTCATTGAATTAACATTTCCTTAGATTCAGGACCATTCCTATATTAGATTATCTTTATGGACAGAATAACTAAATAGTTGTGAGCTTTTCAACGGGGTTTGAAAATGCATGTAATGAAACTAGGAGGTTCAGAAAATTAGCAAGCAGATCAAATTCTGCTGTGCATGTGCAAATAGCATTAGTTCATAAATTGGCCACATCTCTGTGGATTTGCATGGGGATAGGAAACTGCAATTTTTTTGATGATTCGTAATTGCCTTAAGCTGATTTATGAAAAGGGCGATCCTATCTTCACTATACCTGCAAAAATTACATGTTTTTGTGAACAGTTTTCAGATGAGTCAGCAGGTTTAGTAGTTGTTCAAAAGAGAGTTTCTAAGGGAAATAAGCTGAAATGTACTGTCAAAGCTGCATGCTTTGATTCTCCACTGCTAGGCACCGGCAAGAGTAGTGGCTACAAGGGCATGGAACAACTCACTGTCAGAGCAGAGAAGGAGCAGCATTGTGCTAACGGCACCAACCTTTGTTATTAAATGTGTTCAATACCAAAAGTATCCCATGAATTTACAGAGCTTCTGTTAAACTGCTAAAGTTTTGACCTCGCTGTTTACTTCCAGCTGCATTGTCTGATGGTGAGAAAACTTCAGATTTCCATGAGTGGTTAATACCTGTCTGTTCCTGTGCTGGTGTTGTCTCTCAGTTTAAATAGTTCTTTTCTTCCTGCCCAGTATTGACAGTAAAGCAGTAATATCTTTCTGAAGCTGTTACTCTACCAATTTGAACACATCAAGCTGTTTTAGCTTTTGTGATGTAGTGAACTGCTGAAAATTACTACAAATGGAGTCAAAGCCAAATTCATATAAGTGCCTTCCTGCTAGGCTTGTTGTTAGGATTGTGGATTTCATGGCGTCTAAACTCACTCATTTCCTACTAGATTTCATAAACTCTGAGATTAATGTGTTTTCTCTACAGGCTCATATGGCATGCAGTTTAAAGATTGCTGCACTATGAAGAAAGGTTTTACAGGTTGTATTATGTCTAAAAAGAAGCACCAGTGAAAGGTGCATTTCACTTGTCCACCTGATCAAAAAAAAAAGAAGAAAAAAAAAGTCAACATCCCAAGGAATCCTTTGAATAGCAAATGTAACTTAAACCTAAAAATTTCTAAAGATTTACTAACCATTGAAATAATCTTGAACAACTTTAAAAATGCTACAATGCAGTAGTTTTCCTAAAATAGGTAAAACATATAAAAAAAAGAGTTGTATTCTCAGTAATTTCTTGGATGATCCAAAAGATTCCCTTCCCAAATGGGAAAGAATCTCTGGCTGGAGCTTTGTAAGGCTGTAGCAGAGACAAGTTTCATTCCTCTGCAACAGAGTTCAGATGATGGGATATGAATTGCTCCTAAGACCTAGCATTGAGCTATGTAAAAATTGCCAGAAACATTAAAAAGGAATGTTATTATTGAGTATAATATAACATCATGTATAATCAGCAGGTTTTATTGTTATGTTTTGATTAACTTATTTCTAACTTGAACAAACAAATGCACCTCATACTGGATGTCTAGATATGCTTTGCAATATCCAACCTAGGATCATAGGAACCTCTTTAAGGAATACATAACTATTGGGTAATTGACTAATATTTTCAGCTGATGAACTTCCGAATTGCAGTTCCTGCTCATTAATTTCCAATTTCACCCCATTCCAATCTGTTAGGTCATCCTTTTTTTTTTTTTTTTTTTCCCCTGTCTTCTTGTCTGCCTTTATTTTAACAAAGCCTTGTTTCCGGCCATATGCAGATTTCATTAGCACATAATTTGTTTCCAAGGTCATAATGAAATAGTAACTCGCTGGATCTTAGCTGTATCTCAGACTTAACTGAAGCTAAAACAGGATCTTAACTGCCCATTGAGGACTGCCATTACAAACCTCTTTAGTTCTCCCTCTACTGCAGTCCATCTCATTGCTATCTACCTTTCCCACTGAAGGATTATTGAGCAAGGCTCCTCCTTCTCCTTCTTTTCTTCTCTGATATCTTAACCACATATCAATATGCTTTATTGAAGTATTACAGATTTGTGATGTTTGTCTAAAAATATATATTTGTCCCCTCTCTGTGTCATGCCTTTTATCCTGGTTGATAAAAAAACCCAGTAGAATCATTTGTGCACAGTTTGCAAAAGGAAGATGTCTTTGAGCCAAGGAATGTCCATCTCCAGCTGGTGAGAAATGAATTTTGACAATGGACAAGGGAACCAGCCCAAAGAAGTGCTAAAATAGCTCAAAATAGGACTAGATTAGTGAAAAGATACTCCGATAATGCCATCTTTCATACCATCTCACGCCCACTTTGGCAGGAGTAGTTGCATTGTTGTAAATAAGATATAGGAGTCAAGAATCAATAGTGTCAGGGGCATCCTAGTCTCTGCCTCTGCACAAACAGAATGCCTCCTGAGACTGCCAGCAGTAGCTTGTTTGCTTTCTTGTTTCCTCATTTGAGCGTTGCTTAAAAAAGCATGTTTTAGCCTTGCACTTCTGTCCTCCGGAGTAACTCAGTCTAAACAGACAAGAGGAATTTCTTATCTCTTAGTTTTTCCCATCTTTTAGTATATATTATGTTAAAAAAAAACTGTACTTTTTTAACATTGCAAGAGGATCTTTGTGAGCAATATTGAAAAAGACTGTTGTATAAGCTTGCCAGATAGATGTGTATTTATCATTGTCAAAACCCTTTACTTATAGCCTCACTCCTTATTGGTGTTTGACAGTATATTGAAAAGTTATGAGGGACATTTATTTCTTGTCACAAAGAAAATATAATATTATGGATCATGTAATCTTACAAAATTGTTAAATATTTTCACCAATGAAATGGCTTTGTTCATTTTCTAATGCTGGTGTTCACAGTCAAGAAAGTGCCATGTACTAAGTATGAGGCCTTCAGAAAAGTAAACTGCAGTTCACTTTTTTTCAGCTGAGGCAGTGACACCAATTTTATTTTTTCTTCCTACCCTGCAATTTAAGAAATCATCCCTGTTAGTTCCGCAGCTAATCTGCTGACACAGCACTAGCTTTATTTTGAGTTTGTGAAATGCTGATAATAGGATTGAGACCTACCCTTAAAAGCTTCAACTCACCCAGCAAGACACCTCTTTGACATACTGTGCCCCCAGAAGGCCTAGCATGAAACAAAAATGCAGCGCCATGCTGAAAAATAACAGCCCGTTGTATAATTGAGAGCATGACTTGACAACATGCTAATAAACAGGTGTCTGTGTTGTTCCTGCTGGTGTGGAAAGCTTGCACATCTGTCCTTCAAAGAGCTTTCACTGCCTGCTGTTCAAGTTGTGACATCAGCTGTAGTGGGACGGGAAAGCAAGGTTGTCTGACCTCGATAGCAAAATTCTGCAGTGAAGTTGTGTGATACTTCTAAGCAATGCAGAGCTGGGATATTGAGCATATGTGGCTTGCTCTTCATGTGATTCTTTGGGGACTTACAGATCTGGACTATAGAAGATGGCATTAAGGAAAATATTCCAAAATGTTTCATGATTCTGCTGCGCTTATTTGGCAAAGCAGTCCAAAAGAGTCTTTAAAAACACTGTCTCTTTGGGTGTCTTCAGATAGATTTTAGCGATCCATGTGAGAGCCATTTTTATGAGATCTTTACCTTCTGCTATCTGCTCCAGAATGGAGTCATGCCCCATCCTGGCTACTCCCATCACTGGAGAGTCTTGGCCCACCACACAGGCTTGTCCCCACGAGCTCAAAAGAGGCACAGTGGAGGTGAGGAATGCAAAGTACCTGCTCAGAGGAACAGACACCCTCTCTGGCTTCTCGCAGGAGAGTGTTGGCCCTGTTGCTCCGGTGTGAAAACCAGCAAGATGAGTCCTGGGAGCAGGATCCTGGAGACAGATTCAGTCTGAGGGGGTTACTGCTTAGGGGCATGGGAAACATTATAGGATGCAGGGGAAGAACATTTGGCCATTGCATCGGGATGTTTAGGTGAAAAACCAAAGGTGGAGAATGGGAGAGATCTGGGTGATTTGGGGAAGAACATACATGGGAAGCTAGAGGTACGAAACAATTGAAAGGACTTGTAGGCTTGTCTGACTGTGTCAAGTAGGCTTGTCTGACTGTGACCTGCACCTGATCAGCACAGTCTCCTGCCTTCATATTAAATTTCTTTCCAACTATTTCTCCAGGGTGAGAAACTCCACTCTGTGTCCATTTGTGTGTGAGGTCTCAGCGCCAGCAACCAGATTCTGACCATGGATCTTGGGGGCCTCTGTGCCTGCAGTGCCAGCAACTGGAGGAAGGGTATGCAAACCACTCTGCGATCACTGCTGAACACCAAGTTGGACGAGCTGGCAAGTTGCTTAAGAGACCTGTGAGCCAGGTGTGGATGTGCATCTCTAAACGTGAGACCAAGAGGGATATTTGACTATTGGAGAGACCAGGGCAATCATGGCCAACTGCCAAAGGAACTGTAGGATCCGGGAATAGGGGTGGGAGGAAGGGTTGATTGGGAGAATGAGTGTGCGTGTATGTCTATAGGAAGGGATCCTCAGTACGTGTGTGTGTGTGTGTGTGTGAGGGGGTCGGTGCTAGCAACTGGAATGGGGCTGCAGGCTTTGGGGCATTGTATTTTCAGGCACCAGAAACTGGGAAGACTGGATCCAGGAGCCAGCTACCGGGGTGGGTTGAGTGTCCAAGTCGTCTTACTAGGTGGATCTACACTTTACAGACCTATATGTGTGTATGTATGCATCCTACTAATAGACTTTCCTGGTACTGTTTGTGTGAATGCTTTCTCGACATGTGTAGCCTGTCATGTACATGTATATATATATGTACATACATACATTGTATATGAGTGTGTGTATGTCTATGGGAAATACATATTCAGCCTTGCTACTCGCTGGAACTTGGGGTATGAAGCTGCATGAGCCTGGTCTCTGTCAAGCCTGCAGATCTGACCTCCACATAAACCCTGAAGTCATAAATAGGTAGAGACTCCAGCTGAGATAGATTAATGGATTAGATAAACTCTGACCCAGAATACATATTTTTAGTTTCTTAAATTCCAATTTGTGAGAGCTTTGATGCTGTAAGGAAGGAATTTCATTAGGCAGAAATCCTGAGAGGCACTCGTTTTGCTGAGTGAAGGATTTACCACTACTCATGAACAAGGAGACACAGGCCGGCAAGATGTTAATAAATAGCAACCTTGCTTTGAGCAACTGTGAAATAGTGGAGTTCAAGATCCTGAGGATAGGCAAGCTGAGTACAGACCTTGGACTCTAGGAGTGCAGGCTTTGACCTATTCAGGGGACTTCTAGGTGGGATCTCATGGGAAGCAAGCCTGAAAGTCAAAGAAGCTCAAAAAAGCTGTTAGGTCTTTAAAAATGGCGTCTTCCTAGTGTAAAAATGGTCTATTCCTATACCCAAGAACACAAGTAAACGTATCAAGAACCTGGCTTGAGCTGAGTCTCAACTTAAATTGACACCAGAATGGGACACCATGGACTACAAGAAGAACTTTTATCAGTACAGTAACAAAGGTGCATAGCAGCAGGAGTAGAGACAACCAGCATAAATTGCTTCAGGAGATTCTATCTGGATATACAAAAAAAAATCTCTACCATAAGAATTGGGGTTCTCCCTACTGGGAAGTTCTGAGTTCACATAAGAAAAAGAGTTTACCATGAGGACAGCCAAACAGTGGAGCAGCTTGTCCAGAGACTTTATGAAATCTCAGTTCCTAGAGATTTCAAAGACCCAACTGGATAAAAGTCCCAAGCAAACCTGATCTCAATTCATTGTTGACTGAATGAGCTCCTAAAGTCCCATCCAAATTGATATATTCCTTAATTCTAAGAATTTTCAGCTAGATCAGTTTCTGAATGAGGTTACCTCAATGGCTTTTGAGCAACAGTATGCGTGCAAGGCAGGGGACAGGTTCACATGGTTGAGGAAGGGGATGAAGAAGATCAGAATTAGATCAGTTCAAGATGAGTGGAACTTTCTCCTCAGAGCAGTCCGTGACATATTTCACCTTATGCTGTATATAAGGCCAGTGTTGCAAATATGGAATAAAAATATTTTTCTATCCTCTACCCCTTACAACCTGATGTGTCCCTACTTGAGCACAGTGGCTGGGCTAGATGATCTCTAGAGGTCTCTTCCAACATCAACCATTCTCCGAACACATCAGCAGTGAGATTGCCTTCTTCCACAATGTTATAGATCACTTGGGTTTTAGTGCAGTAAGTATTTCATCAATAGTATTGACGGAGTGAAACAGATTTTCCATTATCTAATGTCTTTTTGTTCTGTACATTCTGATAAAATTAGTCTGGAAAGGGAATAAAGTGCTTTTTTTTTTTTTTTCATCTTGCTTGTCCATTTTCCTCCTTTTCATTGAATACATTTAAACAGTATATGGGATAAGAACTACAAAATGTTTTTTCATTCCTCTTGCTATATTTAGTTATTTTATCTATTGTCAAAGTAAGTGTATAGAAGAAATGTGACAGAACTAGTTACAGCTCTCAGTACTATTACATATGCAAGCAGATAACAGCAAAAGTTGCTGCTATGAACAGATGACAAATATTAGATAAACATTAATTTATGACCATGTAGAACAAAAGCATTTTGATTGTTTCCAATGCTCATGATATGCATTTAGTTATCCAGGAGCCACATAAATCTTTTGTGTAATTCTGCTGAAGACAATAATGAATTTGACCAATCTAGTAGTAAATGGAAGAAAATGTAAAAATGGATTACAAGGAAGAAGATAAACAGCAGATGGGACTCAGGATTAGCCCGTTAGCTTTTCTGCCTTTTGAGGATGGATTCAAATTTCTCTTTCAGTGAGACACAGAGCCACAAAGTAAGGAAGTTTGTCAAACTATACAAAACATATGAAACGGGGTAAAAGGGTGGTCGCAGTTGAGTGATCAGAGTTGTTATGTACGCTTACAGAATATTTGTATGCATTATATATATTATGACAGTGCTTTTGCTCTGTGGGCATAGATCACTTCCTAGGGATTTGCAATATGAACAATGTTTACTATATAATATTCCACAGATGTGGAAATTAAAATGAAACATATATTTACTGGAAAAGCTCTGCAGATTCACAGACTGTAAAATGCTGAAAGTTAGTCATTGATAGCAGGACTATTATTTGACTCTTGTAAGATATCCCAAAGTTTTAGAGCAGAGATTATTTTGGACAAAGTCCTGATGAAAAGAAAGAGGTGAATATCCAGCTACTCTGGCTATTGTGATCTTTTACCTAATGCAATTTTCAGGTACTGTGTAACACAAAACTAGATACTTTACTTGCTATATCATTTCAATCTTATTCACATATGCTGTATCACCTTTTGTGAATAGATGTCTGTGGGAAAAGTTAAAAAGTTACTCTTTCTCACAGCTATACAGAGCAATATTATCTTTTGAAAACTGGTTATTCATCTAGTCGAAATTTTTGCATTGGTTTTGTAGGCTGGAAATCAAGACCTGGGGCTTGTGTGTTAAAAATTTCAAGGAAAGGACTCACAGTACAAGCAGTTTGGGCCTGAGCAGCAGACCCCAGACCTTTGACCAGACCCTACATGGTAATTTTACATGCCTTAATTTCAGTGTGGCTACTTTGGTGCACCAAACAGGTTCAAAGTCCCAGCAGAACAGGTTGTGCAGTAACTGCCCAAGAGTAACTGTCTTACCTGGAAGAAAGTAAATGGTTGATGATCATTTCTTGTGGACTAGTAAAATAATATTATTTATGAGAGGCAAAACAGATAGTTACAATGGCATGGTACTATACAGATAGTTACAATGGCATGACAAATTCGCTGCATGTTCATGCTCTATGCTAACCTCCTTTAACCTGAAAACTTGCTGATGCTCTTCGAAAACATTGTCCACTTTTCTCTGAAACAACACACTGAGATGCTTGGATTGAGCATCTGGAACTGTTAATTAGTTTGAAAACAAAATATGTCTAAGCCTGACACTCTCAAGAATGGCAGAATACAAAGAAATACCAAGATGCAATTATTTTGAAGGTGAAATAGGCTTAAGAAATTATCCCTTCCCTGCACACATTAATAGCATTTTTGTTTGCTGCGCGCTATGTGACACTACAGCTCTTTCGTGTTCATGACATATCATTGACTGTGTTCTCAGGTAGTGCTTTCCCCCTAAGCCCAATTTCCAAGAGTGTTATTTCATTTTAGTGATCTGACTTACAGCAAGTGGGAAGGTCCAGAAGAAGCTGTTGGGGATGAGAAGTTTTTGAGTGGGCTTCATCATTAAGAACAGCATATTATGAACTACTGCCTCATTTTTGGTTGCGGTGTTACAGGCACTCAGTGGTAATTACTATATTTAGTGGTGATCCTTGCTTTTCCTAGGCTGTGACCCTGTGTTGCATGAGGAAAAAATTCTCTGGTGTCAGAGAATAAAAGGAAAAATATATCACCTGCCTGTGATCACAGCACCAGGATCACAACATGCAGACTGTGAACCAGGATGTAGCAAATACTGCTGAAGAAGTTTTATTGGTGAAGACAGGAAATATGCATAACTTGGAAGAAAAAATAGCAGTAATCAAAAAATAAGTTTCTCCAAGCAAAACAAACATTCTGAGTTTTAGCAAATTAAATTAAATCCACCACATCACAGA